GAGTTGTCTGTATATTCTGGATATTAAACCCTCATCAGATATATGATTTGCCAGTATTTTCTCTCATTCTGTAAATTGTTTATTCACATGCTTGATAATGTCCTTTGATGTGCAAAAGTTTTTAATTTTTATGAAGTCCAGCTTTTCTATTTTTTTCCTTTTATTGCTCATATGTTACTGTTCAAATCTAAAAATCCATTGCTAAATCCAAGATCATGATGACTTATCACTGTGTTTTATTCTGAGAGTTTTATAGTTTTAGCTCTTTTATTTAGAGTTTTGGTCCATTTTGAGTTAATTTTTGTATACGAAGTAAGGTAGGAGTCCAACTTCACTCTTTTGCACTTGGTTATCCGTTTGTCCTAACACCATTTATTGATGAGATTGTTCTTTTCCCCCTGAATGATCTGGGCACTCTTGTCAAAAATCAACTGACCATAGATATTTCGTTTTTTTCTGGATACCCTTGATCCTAGTCCATGGGTCTATATGTGTATCATTATGCTATTACCAGACTGTTTTGATTACTGTAGCTTTGTAGTAAGTTTTAAAATCAGAAAGTATGAGTCTTCCATCTTTGTTTTTCTTTTTAAACATTGTTTCAGGTATGTAGGGCTCTTGCAATTTCATATCAATTTGAGGATTGGTTTCTGAGAAAAGCCCATGAAAATTTTAATGGAGATTGCATTGAATCTGTAGGTCACTTTGGGGAGCAGTGCCATTTTAACAGTGTTAAGTTTCCCAATCTGTGAACACAGGATATCTTTCCATTTATTTAGGCCTTTAATTTCTTTCAGCAGTCTTTTGTAGTCTTCAGTGTACAAGTGTTTTACCTCCTTGGTTAAATTTACCTCCTTGGTGATCTAGAGAGGCCCAGGGACAAGCTGAAGGCTGGGGCTATGTCCTGAAGAGCTCCTGAGTCCTTGCGAGGGCCGCCCGCTGGCTGGGCCCAGGCTTCAAGGCAGCAGTGAACCTCTACCCCATCCCCGCCTCTGCAACCTAATGGCAGTGGCAGTATTCATGGGTCACAGTCCATGGAGGCCTCAGCAACTGGAATATATGGACACTGCCATTAAAGTCACCTTCATCCAACTTCAGGCTCCCCTTTCAAGTTTCAAAAATAGGTACAGCTTAGATTGGTTATCTACTCCTAGGAGGTGACCAGAGGTCAGGGTTAAGTTAAAAGGACATTTCACGTCACGACTTCAGGTCCATCTTTGTGGTTGGGGCTATTTTCAAAGAAGGGCAATTCTTGTGAGCTGGTTGGTATTTGCTACAACATGTATTCCTATTGATCCTATATAAATGATTGTCTCCAGTTACATGAAAAGCCTGAGGGCCAGCTCGGTCCTGGGCGCCTGGCTCCCTCAGTGATGACAGCTGGGCTGAGCCTGGGAACCTGGCCCTGAAGGCACCATCAGCTGAGAACCGCCTCTTTGGCCAGGCGTGGGCACTGGCGGGAGGACCCAGTCTGGATACTAGATGAATGCTGCTGAACAGGGTAATGAGCCCACACAGGGACCCCCTCCTGTTAGCCAGGGCCTGGATCTGAGAGGGTGAAAGTTGAGCCATGGAACCTTGCCCGTTTTCCCACAGAATAGAGAATAATATTTGTTTTGGTGGAGGTTTATAGGTACATGGTGACCTGACTGTGATCTGACCTCAAGAACAAAGGATCTGACATCAAGAAATTTTTTTTTTGGACATCAAGAAATTTGCAGCAACTAAACCATGCTCCAGGCTTCCCAGGTGGCGCTAATGGAGCCTGGCAGGCTACAGTCCATAGGGTTGCAAAGAGTTGGACAAGACTGAGCAACTAAACATACATGAACAACTATGCCCCTCCTTCTCCTTCATCTTTCTTATAAAAGGGCTTTGCTGAAAGCTTTCAGGAAGTTCAGGGTTTTTAAGGCATGAGCCACTCACTTATCTCCTTGCCTGGCCCTGCAGTAAGGTTTTGTCTGCTCCAAATTCTGATGTTTTGGTATTTTTTGGCCTCTTTGTGCACTGGGCACACAGACTTGCATTTGGTAACAGTTTTTCTGGCTTGCAGACAGCTACCTTCTCCCTGTGTACTTAAATGGTCTTTGCTTGGTGTGTGTATGTGTATGTTCACACACACAGAGAACTCTCTGATGTCTCTTCTTAGGAGGATACTTACTCATCCTACTGCATCAGGGCCCCACTCTTATTTAATCTTACTTTCTTAGATGTCTCTTCTCTAAATACACACTGAGGGTTGGGGCTTCAACCCATGAGTTTTGGAGAAATGCAAACATTCAGTCCATAAAAGATGCTATTGTAATTATCTATTAGAATTATTCTCTTAATTTCCTTTTCTGATTATCCTTCTAGGCTTTTTAAAATTAACGCCTGCCCCAGTGGAGCCATTGTTACCAGTGTCCTGTGTATCCTCTCCCCTGCTTCCTTTCTGACTCTGTCTCGTAAGCTCTGTTTTATCTGCAGCTTTATTCTTCCACTTGATTCGTTGGCAACTGCTAAATATTTACTGAGTGCCTCTAATGTGTTTATCAGCATGTCTAGCAGTAGGGGAGGTATAAGGAAGTACAACATGGTTTCTGCCCTTGAAAACTTTCAATTTAGTTAAAGAAACAGACATCTACAAAATAATTTGGGAAATGATCTTCCTTGGTGGTCCAGTGATTAAGACTTCATGTTCCAATGCAGGGGGTATGAGTTTGGTCCCTGTTCTGGGAACCAAGATCCTGAAAGCATCTCGGGCAAAAAATCAATACATAAAATACAAGCGGTATTGTAACAAATTCAATAAAGACTTTTTAAATAGTCCACATAAAAAAATCTTTAAAAAAATTAAGGAACCATTTATAAGCATAAGTAATCCAATCCTTAACTATGTGACTTATGCCTTAGGATGTAAATAGACTGTAGAAGAGTAGATCACAGCAGTATCCCCAGCCCCTAGATCAGTATAGGAGGAACAGGATATGAACTCAATAAATGAGTATTAGATGAATTTAATACTGTCCGTCGTTGGAATTTCACTTGGCAGAGGCTAGCCCTCCCATTCATCCTAGAAGATGATCCCCAGGGGACTCTGATCTGCAAAGGGGCATTTAGATAGGACCTATCTGAGAACACTGGGGCTCTCTAACTGGTTCAGGTTACGGCTTAATGGTAGGCTCACAGACATAGCACACATCTCTCAGCAAGTATTCTGGTGTCTTTCTAAAATAAGTTCTTACATAAATAGATCCTTGTTAAGTTCCACCGAGTAAACTAACTGAGAAGAGGAGTATGAAGGAAGAGGGAAGAAAGCAATGCCTAGGCATAGGGGAAAATGTCCCAGAAAATTCCAAACCGATAGCTAGGAAGTGGTGCCAGGAGCTTTGGATTCCAGGCAAGAAGTGGTGCCCAAGCTTATTGATCTAGTCCTTTAAAATATGGTTTTTTTTCTGATTCCAAGATGAAGGTATAATCCTTGAAAACCAAATCACAGTATAAAGAAGAAAGTAAACTATCTATAAACCATGACTCAGAGATAAGCATTGTTTGCATCATTATATAAAAACACTACATGTCATTTTACTTGAACTTAACAGAAGGAAAAGAAATCAAACTTCAGATAAGAACCTAGTATTTAATGTCAACAGTAAGACCCAGTAAAATTGATGATTCTAGAGATTATGAGTTCTATAATTTGCATAATAGATCTCTTCTCTATAATTGAAAAAAATGTTTATTTATTTTATTTTTGGCTCTGTCAGGTCCCAGCTGTGGCGTGAAGGTTCTCTGTGGTATCTTTCAGTACGGTGGGCGGGTTTCTCTCTAGCTGTGGCACACAGCTTGGTAGTGGCGGCAAGTGGGCTCAATTGCCCTGCGGAATGTGGGCTCTTAGTTGGCAACCTGCGTCCTCATCATTGAAAGGCAGATTCTTAACCACTGGACCACCAGGGAAGACCCTTGTCTTCATAATTATAATGTTTCTTTTATAGAAACCCTTTGGACTAATTTTGATATTGGGACACATCTGATCCTCTTAAAACATATTCAGTTACAGATTATGAAAGATGTGTACTTGGGAAACCACTATGCTTCATTTTATTTCAGTTTATAGGTGTAATTTAGCCAATAAATTTAATCTTAGTTTTAAGTTTTACCTCCCCCTGCCAAAACATATTGTTTTCTCCCTTATTTTCAACAACTATAAAAACATCATTCATCGCTATGTCAATTTCATAGATGTTATGTGTCTCAACTGTCAAATGCTTTAGAAATTCTAAAATAAAATATTGAGAATTACTTTCCTTAACACAGCTAATAAAATTTTTTATTAAAAAAATTCATACCACATAGTTTACTTCATACTTACATCTTGATTTTCTCATTCAGCTTCTTATTTTTCCTGGCATTTCTAATTGTGTTTCTTTTTTCTTACTGGTTACACGAGATGCTTATCTGCTCATTGGAAGCAAACTGCAGGAAATGTAAATGGGTTGGGGAGATCCCCTGGAGTGGGAAATGGCAACCTGCTCCACTCTTCTTGCCTGGGAAACCCCCTGGACAGAGAAGCCTGGCAGGCTACAGTCCATGGGGCTGCAAAGAGTCAGACATGACTGAGCAGTTGAGCACACACATATGAAGGGGCCACAGACATTCTACTACACGTCACTAAGGGCTCAGTTTCCCTAAAACCCCGGACCCCCAATATCCATACCTCGGCATGCTCCAGTTTACCAGGTATCTCGTTTTTCCAAAATTCCTTTCTTCTAAGACCGCAGTTCCCCCAGTTCTGCCAGCTACTCATTGCTCTCAATACTTTAACTCCTGTGTAACCATTTTTCCCAGTGTTCTCCCTTCAAGACTATGGGCCATCCCAGCACTACCTCCCACACAGTGAGTTTTGCCCAGCCCACCTGCTCTGGTGCGGCCATCGGGCATTTCCTCTGTCCTGTTTCTCCTCCCCAGGAAGTGCCTGCTTGCCTCGGCCATGATGACTCAGCTTTGGTTGAACCCCACAGGTGCTGAACAAGGCCAAGTACGGCCCAATGTGGATAAACCGAGTAGGGCCTCAGATGCACGTGAACCTGGCCAGTGCCCCACTCCTAGAGCAAGTGATGCGCCAAGAGGGCAAGTACCCAGTACGGGACGACATGAAACTATGGAAGGAGCACCGGGACCAGCAAGGCCTGTCCTATGGGCCCTTCACCACGTGAGCTTGGGCCAGAGGGACTGGAAGAGGGCTCCAGAGGACCAGGCCCAGGAACAGTGGCACTCGGCAGCCAGAGGATAATGGGCAGAGTAGGATCTCCCTGTGTCCTCTGAGCCCGAGTCTGGAAAAAAGCCTGTGTGTCTAGAAAGCAGTGGTTGGGCTGGACTGAAGCCCATGGACCATTCATTGGCTTTTCCACTAATGTATCCTATAACTATGAACAAATGAATAATATACCCTCCTTGGGCTTATGTTTCTTATGTATATAATGGGAAGCTTGAATTACAGTATCTCCAAGGTATCTTTCAGACCTTTCAATCTCCATGATTCTGTATTATGGTTGAAAATCTACTAACTCAAATCGTACTGGGACATATTTACTTATAGTTGAAAAAAAATAACAGCAGCACCATATTAGTTGGGAGGGCTCAATTTAATTTTAAGGATATTTTTCAAATTATGTATTATATGCTTGTTGTTGGTTATAACTTTCATGGATGCTCTCAGCACAGAGAGATACATGTAAGTTTTAGCCTCAAAGTCATACCTAAAAAAAGTTAAGATTATTTTGGCAGTGACACATTGAAAGATGAGCTGAGTGTATTATATATTCAAATACCAATTAAGGTAAATAATTGAGAATCATTGGTGATAAACCATTCCCAGTGCCACAACTTGTAATTGGATATATTACAGGCTTCTTTTTGCTATAGTATGTTAAAAGAGCTTCCAGAACAATGAATGGCTTTTTATTTTCCCTAGATGTCTGACATCCACATTTTTAAAGTCATTTTTTAAGGGATTAAAGTTGATCCATGTGGTTGAAGTAATAGCAACAACACTGATAATAACTGTTTATGACATGCCAGGCATCAGGCAAGTCTCTTTACATTTATTATTTCATTCTAACCTCACACAGGCCATGAAGTAGATAGTATTATTAATCCCCATTTTACAAATAAACTGAGGCCTAGAAGGGTTTGGTTTTTTCACTGCTTGCCAGAAGTGACACAGTGAGTGGTGACATAGATATCTCTGATTCTGGAATGCAAGGACTTACTGCCTTGACATGTTTGGAAAGGAACAGGCTGGTTGGAAGGTTCATTTTCTATGTCTTTGATGCTTGTATATTCATTCTGTTATTTCTTAACTTTCTCTTTTCCTGGTTCCTTCATAGGTGGTTGGTTTCAGAACTTAATTCCTTGGTCCTTTTTTCTAAGTTCTGAGAAGAGAATAGAGAATGTTCTTTAAGAGCTGTTTAGCCTGATATCTGACCTTGAGGGCAAGATTTAGGTCTCAAGGATGCTGTACAATATTTGGGACCCAAATCTTGCCAAGAGAGTAAATCTTTAAAGTTTATTTTTTATGGTGACAGATGATCAGTTCAGTTTAGTCGCTCAGTCGTATCAGAATCTGCAACCCCACGGACTGCAGCACGCCAGGCTTCCCTGTCCATCACCAACTCCCGGAGCTTACTCAAACTCATGTCCATCAGTTGGTGATCCCATCCAACCATCTCATTCTCTGTTGCCTACTTCTCCTCCCACATTCTAGACTTATTATGGTGATCATTTTGCAATGTATTCAGATGTCAAATCATTATATTGAAGCCAATATAATGTTATATGTCAATTATAAATCAATAATAATAATAAAAGATTTGGTTCTCAGTTTCTCACCAGGTCAGGCCATCTCTGGACTTGATGGTTCATATTTAGAACTGGAGCTAAACATGTATATATATATACCCCTTTGTGATCTATTATGCCTATTTCCTCTAAAGCCAGTTTCCTAAATATCTTATACAATATATGTATTTAAAAGCTATTTTGCTAACCTATGAGACTTTTTTGTTTTAACATATATATATATATTTAAAATCTCATTTTTCTGAAGCATGTTTTCCCCAAGAAATATTTTAACAACCACAGAAAGGTTCTCATTTAAGTTCTGCAAATCTATTCCTATTGTTGGGAGAGTTTTACTCTTGGAGAAGCACCCAAAACCTGAAATTCCAATAAGTAGGTCTGTTCTGGTTTTCTTTTCTAGCAACACTTTTAGTTTACGTTTTTGCAGTTTTCCCCAACGTAAGATATTGCTAGTGTAAAGAACCTACCTCCCAATGCAGGAGACCTAGGAGATGCGTGTTCAATCCCTGGGTCGGGACGATTCCTGGAGGAGGGCATGGCAACCCACTCCAGTATTCTTTCCTGGAGAATCCCATGGACAGAGGAGCCTCATGGGCTCAGTCCATGGGGCCCTAAAAAATTGGACATGACTGAAGTGACTTAGCACGCATACCAATATAAGAAAGAAAACTCCTAGGGTTTGAAGTTCAGTTATTTATTCATTAAGTTTGTTTTTTAAGGTTCATTTAAGTAAAAATATATTTTTCAAATTTATTGAAGTATAGTTGGCTTACAATGCTGTGTAGTGCTTAGTCACACAGTCGTGTCCAACTTTTTTGCAACCCCATGGATGGTAGCCCGCCAGGCACTTCTGTCCATGGGGATTCTCCAAGCAAGAACACTGGAGCATGCCCTTCTCCAGGGAATCTTCCCAAACCAGGGATCAGACCCAGGTCTTCCACATTGCAGTCAGATTCTTTACCATCTGAGCCACCAGGGAGCCCAATAGTTCAAAATAAAAAATCTTATTCTTGCCTTAATACTTGTAAATGTTTTTCTTTTTTAAAGACCTTATGAATTTTTAAAAGTCAAAAGTAATATTTATTGTAAAAATTCCAGTAATAAAATATTGTCTCCCTACCCCTTGGTCCCATCTCATCCTCCTAAGTAATCCTGACAATTTGGTGTATATTCTTATCTTGTTTAGTTGCTAAGTTGTGTCCAACTCTTTGCAACCTCTGGACTGTAGCCCTCCAGGTTCCTCCATCCATGAATTCTCCAGGCAAGAATACTGGAGTGGGTTGTTATGCCCTGCTCCAGGGGATCTTCCCAACCCAGGGATCAAACCTGAATCTCTTACATCTACCTGCATTGGCAGGTGGGTTCTTTCCCACTACCGCCACCTGGAAAGCCCTATATTCTTCTCTGTGAACATACAGATATGCATGTAGATATATAGGGTTTCCTCTCTTCCTCTTAAAATTGTGCCTTGTTGTATTTATTACTCTACATCTAGCTTTTTAAAAAGTGACCCATACCCAGCTTGCTTAGGAAAGGTAACAGGTTTGGGGGACCACTGAAGATGGGAGTAGCCCCTGAACATTAAGCCCCTTGAATGGAAAGTGTGTGTCCATCCACATGAGCATCCCTGTCTAACCAGGGTGAGGACCCAACTGCCTACTGCATGGCTGTGGCAAGAGGACCTGGAGCATCAGCCAGATAGCTCTCTGTCTCCTTGGCGCCTTGAGCCTAACAGAGCACAAAGGTCCTCTGAGCAACTCAAGAACCCTAGGTTGCTCTTCTTTTATCCCTCATCCTTGACACAGAGGGACCAGAGCCACTGTAGCTTCATAGCTCATTTCACATACAGAAGATTATAGAGTTGTGTCATCCTAAGATAATCACAGTCAACATTCATTAAGTATTCACCCATTTTCCAGGCACCAATCTAAGCATGTTAATTATCGTACTAAGATACGCGCTCTTGTTATTCCCATTTTACAGAAGGGAAACTGAGGCACAGAGGAGTTGAGTCATTTGCCTAACGTCATTCAGCCAACATCATCTGACCTATGATTTGACCCTAGGCAGATTGGTTCAGAGGGCTTCCCAGGTGGCGCTAGTGGTAAAGAACCCGCCTGCCAATGCAGGAGACGTAAGAGACAGGGGTCAACCCCTGGGTCTGGGAGATCCCCTGGAGAAGGACATGGCAACCCACTCCAGTATTCTTGTCTGGAGACTCCCTTGGACTGGAGGAGCCTGGCTGGCTATAGACCATAGGGTTGCAAAGAGTCGGATACAACTGAAGCGACTTAGCACGGCACAGGTTGGTTCAGATGCCCACCTTAACTACTTCCTTTATGCTCTTAGTGAAATTCTGAAGTTTTGTGATTTGAAGATTCTGTCATTTGAGAGTTTGTGATTCCATAATTCTAGGTCTAGGAGTCTGAGATTTTCCTCAACTCTGTAAGGGACTCAGGGTGGGAAGATATCACCTAATCCAATCCCTACCAGATACTGAGATTGATGTCACTCTTCCCTCGTCTGCAGGATGGGAGAGCAGTGGTACAGGTTGCGCCAGACTCTGAACCAGCGGATGCTGAAGCCAGCCGAGGCTGCGCTCTACACGGATGCGCTGAACGAGGTGATCAGTGACTTCATGGCTCAACTGAAACAGCGGCGGGCGGAGAGCGCCACGGGGGACCACGTGCCTGACATTGCTCACCAATTCTACTTCTTTGCCTTGGAAGGTACTCTGGTGGGGAGAGGGGCCAGGTGGCGTGGGTCAGGGGTAGGCTGTACTCTCCCCTGATGATGGCCTCCATGCACCTCCAGCTATTTCCTACATCCTCTTTGAGAAACGTATTGGCTGCCTGGAGCGCTCCATCCCCAAGGACACCGAGACCTTCGTCAGATCTGTCGGGCTCATGTTCCACAACTCTCTCTTTGCCACCTTCCTCCCCAAGTGGACTCGTCCCCTGCTGCCCTTCTGGAAGCGGTACCTGGATGGCTGGAACACTATCTTCTCTTTTGGTGAGGAGTCCAGGGGAAGAAGTTGGGGCATGGGTCCCAGGGTCAGTGTAGTAACAGCCCCTAGTACTCTCTCCCAGGACTTTCTCCCTTGATCCTCGGAGGGCATGGCTTTTGACTGCATCCTCCCGGTTCTCCATTGTCCCTGTAGGAAAAAAGCTGATTGATCAGAAATTGGAGGAGATAGAGGCCCAGCTGAAGACAGGGAATCCAGAGAAGACCCAGATATCTGGTTATCTGCACTTCCTGCTGACCAGCGGACAGCTCAGTCCTCGTGAGGCTGAGGGCAGCCTGCCCGAGCTGCTCTTGGCTGGAGTAGACACGGTGCGTGAGGGGCGGGCGCGGAGGCCAGGGCCTCCCAGCTCTCATCCTGGGCCTGTTCCCCACTATCCTCCACCTGAGCCTGACCTTCGTCCCTCCAGGTACCTGCTTCTCTTTCTGTAATGTGGATTTAGAGCTGGAAGGAAAATGGGGGTCATTCAACCTTGTGGAGGTGGGCCAGGAGTGGTTCCAGGAGTGTGAGGGATTCGCTCACTCCCTGGAGCCTCTCTGACAGCTGGGAAGTTTCATCTCACACCTAATCTCTTCCTTCACGCTGTCATCTAAGCAGAGAGTTGAAGAGCTTGCCCATAGCACCTTCCAAGTAGGGCCTCTTTTGTGTGCTTTTGTCCTGTTGGGTTTCTCCGTTAGTCTCCTATGCTGTTACAGTGCGATTCTCTATCATATCGGTCCTTATCCTGCATGAAGCCACATTGAGCATTGGAGAGAGGGTCCTATAAACCCTGGAGTCTAATCCCGCTGTGTAAAAATGTTAGTCGCTCAGTCATCTCTGACTATTTGTGACACCATGGACTGTAGCCCACCAGGCTCCTCTGTCCATGGGATTCTCCAGGCAAGAATGCTGGATTGGGGTGCCATTGCCTTCTCCAGGGGGTCTTCCCGACCCAGGGATTGAGCCCGGGTCCCCTGCATTGCCGGCAGATATTCTACCATCTGAGCCCTCAGGGAAGCCCTGCCATACTCGAAGCAATTTAATTTCTCTCCCACATTTTGCAAACATGCAAACACCTTGCCACCATCTAACTGAACCTCTTCCCTAGAAATCCCTGCTCACTTCATCTCTTACTGTACTTCCCAGACATCCAACACGCTGACGTGGGCCCTGTACCATCTTTCGAAGAACCCAGAGATCCAGGCAGCCTTGCATAAGGAAGTGGTGGGCGTGGTGCCTGCTGGGCAGGTGCCCCAGCACAAGGACTTTGCCCGCATGCCCCTGCTCAAAGCTGTGCTTAAGGAGACCCTGCGGTAGGATACTGTCCCTGGAAACAAGGGTCTGTGTGTGGAGGGGAGCTCAGAGAGAAGAGTGGGAAGTGGGGGCTGAGGGACTGTGGCCGGGATCAGAGACGAGATGGGAAGAGGGGACTGAGGGACCAGAGGGGTGTGGCCAGGAGGGTGGCCACTCTGACCCTCCTTGGATCCAGAGGCAGACCTGTACTTTCTTTTCCCTGCAGTCTTTATCCTGTGGTCCCTGTGAACTCCCGGGTTGTCGTGGACAAGGAAATTGAAGTTGGTGGCTTCCTCTTCCCCAAGAATGTGAGTGGGGCTGGAGAGCCAGGGTTCCCGGGGGGACCTCACAGACCTATGGTGATGCGCCCCCCAACCTGTATGTGCAGACCCAGTTTGTGCTCTGCCACTACGTGGTTTCCCGGGACCCTGACATCTACCCTGAGCCTGACAGCTTCCAGCCCCAGCGTTGGCTGAGGAGGAACCAGCCTGATGCCCTCAAAACCCAGCATCCGTTTGGCTCTGTACCCTTTGGCTATGGGGTTCGGGCTTGCCTGGGCCGCAGGATTGCCGAGCTGGAGATGCAGCTGCTGCTGACAAGGGTGAGTGGGGAGAGACTGGAGGGGTGTGTGGGCTAGGGGAGCTGACGGGGGAGGGAGGCCCAGGTGGGGGCATGCCGAGGAGGGCGGTGGATGGAGGCCACAGACTCTAAGCGCCCCTGTGCCTTTTACCTCCCAGCTGATTCAGCAGTATGAGATGGTCCTGGCCCCTGAGACGGGGGAGGTGACGAGTGTGGCTCGCATTGTTCTGGTTCCCAGCAAGAAGGTGGGCCTGCGTTTCCTGCAGAGACAGAGCTGAGCTGGGCCCTTGCTTCCTCCCTTCCCGGGCACACGAAGACGGAGAGAAAGCGCGTGCCAGGCACCAGAGGTTGGAGAACCTGTGTGCTTCCTGCAGATCCTGAGCTTTTTGCTATTTTGTATCATGTCCTCTCAGATAAAAGGCCGCTGCCATGGCACATTGCTAATCTTGGGGGAAAATACTGAATAAAGGGTTTTTTTAATTCATAACTGGAGATCTTTGTCATTCTTGTTGACAACCCAGCTCTTTCTGTGGTTGGGGAACACACTCTCCCACTTAGGAAACTTGGTGGGAGGCAGAGCCGCCTCCCTTCGTGGAAGCTGAGCACATCCTGTGATTTCCCAGAGCTCACAGAGAAGTCTTGGCTTACCTAGCATCGGCTGAGGCCCTGTCCAGGCAGAAGCTGCCGATCCACTCCTTAGGCACAGAGAGGACACCGTATTTTGAACAGAAAGTGCTTAGATACAGGCAGTGAGGTCACAAAAATGGTTGGAAGAGCTCTAGGATAGGCCTACAGGAATGATTCTAGGGGCACCCCTGGGGAGGCTCATCAGTCCGGGAAGCCACACTCAGGAGGATGGGGTTTGGGTAACTCACTATGACCATTGGCCCCAAAGCTACTCCATGTATCCCAGATCTGTGCTGACTAAACAGAAAAAGAAAAGATGCCCCCTCCTCCCAACCGCCCCTGACAGCAGAAGGGACAGGAGCTGCAGACGGTGGTCTCTGCCTCACGAACACCTTTCAGATCTCTTGCATACAGCTAAGAGGAAGAGCCTAGGTCCTACCTGGAACTCCAGCTTGGAGACGGTCTGGGGATTGTAGTCTTTAATTTTCCAGCCCCTTCAGTACAGGAAGCCAGCTAGAAGGAAAGTGGGTTGGCATGGAGATCCAGTGCCCAGTAACACAAGCCTGAAAAATCAACTAATCCCAGCCTCGAGGAGGCCCAGCCCCAGTGGGAAATTTCTGCTGAGTCACAGAAAGCTGGACTTTCTTATGTCTGTGGGGATTTGAGTTTGAGCCTATTAAAAAAAAAAAACAAAGCACATCATTGCCCTGATTAACATCCTTCCACGGCTCCTCTCAATCCTGAGGCAAGGTCTAAAGTCCTTACGGTGGCTTAGAAGGCTGGTGTTCCAGCAGCCTGCTCTCTGCACTTGTCCACCGCCTCCACCCTTCCCACAGCGGTGCCCCAATTCCTTGTATCTCCCCTGAGCACGTTCTGCTCTTTCCAGCCTCAATACTTGGTACTTCATGTCCTGTCTCCTTGGAACACCCTCTTCACCAACTGGCGTATCGTCTCAGAGAACTTGCTCTTCCTCAGGACTCAGCTCAAATGTCACCGCCTCTGCAAAGCCTTCCCTGACCTCTCTGGGCGAGCGCGAACACTTCCTCTTGTGCTATCCCCGTCCACCCATAAAACCAAGCACTCGGCGTGTTCATTGCATCCTAGGCCCGACTGTCTCCCTAGCCAGCAGGGAGCCCCATGGAGGGCACAATCCCAGTATCTAACTCTGTGTCTGGCACAGATTTAATCAAGGTAATGAATAAATGTTGAATGAGAAGAGACTGGACTGGGAGGAAGGGAAGGAGAGTGGAGGCTACAGAGCTTTCCATATTAAAAAGAGAAACCTGGAGAGAACTGAGCGGGGATGCTTGATTACAAGCCCATGGCTCTCAAATCCACCAGTGTAGGGCTTCACCAGTGAGAGCTCTTTGTAAATGTACAGGATTGGGGCTGGGCACTGAGGGGGACAGGATCTCTGCACAAAGTTGACTGGAGCAGACTGCTGCCTTTCCCAGTGGGCTGCTCCTCCAGACCACCAAGGGTCAGCTGCCCAAACCACGGGGACCCCTCAATGCTCGAATTTTGGGTCAAGGGTGGAGGGGAGGAGGAAATCATGTGATGTGGCTGGGATTGAGGTTTTTAGCAGCTGCAGAAGAGTGTCAGGGTTCATGGTCTGTGGCACAGTTATTGAATTTATAGACTAATCTCACATCAAAATCTGATCTGTGAAGATCTGGTATATCTGTAGGTTAGAATAGTATTCAGCCATAAAAAAGGAATGAAGTACTGATTCATGATACATCATGGATGAACTTTGAAAACGTTATGTTCATGAAGGAAACCAGACACAAAAAGACCACATCTTGTATGATTCCATTGACATAAAAATGTCTAGAATAAGCAAATCCATAGAGTTAGAAAATGAGTTAGTGGTTGCCCGGATAAGTGTGTGGGGAGTGACTGCTAACAGATACAGAGTTTCTTTGGGGTGATGAGTGTGTTCTGAAATTGGATAGTGGTGATGTTTGCACGACTAGGTGAATATACTAAGTACTGCTGAATTGTACACATTGAAACAGTGAATTTAACAGTATGTGAATTACATCTCAATTTTAAAAAATCTGTAAAGACCAGTTTGGTGAGATTATTGTAGAAATAGCTGCCACTGGAAGTTATAACTCCAAAGATACCATAGAAAACTAAGGCAGCAGTGCCCTGCTGTACATCTGAAGGGCCTAAAATCCAGTCTCTAATCAGAAATCAGAGATGCAGAACTGAGACAAGAGCTCAGAGGAAGGGTGATGTAATGATGTCCTCGTGAGGCTGAATCAAAGAGCAGGCTATATCCCCTTACATTTCGGTGAAGTGTAGGCACAGCCTCAGAGGCTTCCCCCTGAAAGTGACAAGTGACAGGTTGTGTTCTAAAAGATGAGCTGAAGTGCTATTAACGTAGCTGTGAAACCTTGCCCAGAGTTTGCTACTGGAGAGTCCATAGACAGAGCTCTGGGAAGAAAAGTGTCAAAGACTCCTACTCTAAGCAGGAAAAGACAAAATTCAGTATGGGCATGGTCAGAGGTTGTCTCTTTATACTTGAGGTTCTTTACATTTTTAAAAATTTATTTTAATTGAAGGATAATTGCTTTACAATATTGTGTTGGTTTCTGCCATATATCAACATATATCAGCCATAGGTATACATATACCCTTCCTTCCTGAATCTTCCTCCCACCTCCCTCTCCATCCCACCCTTCTAGGTTGTTACAGAGCCCCGGCTTGAGTTCCCTGAGTCCCACAGCAAATTCTCACTGGCTATTTATTGAAATATGCCTATAGAAAAACAAATATGGCAGTTAGCATACATGAAGTTCTTTGGCTTTTCTTGGGAATTAAACATGACATCTCTCAGTTTATATGCCTGGACAAGACATTTAGTGTAAATGGAAAAAAAATTACTTTCTTTGTCAATGATTCATTCAAATATATAGAATATACCTATTGGATACAATGTTGTAAATAAATCTGCTTCAATTAAAAAAACCCATAAGGCTTAGAAAGCATACACAGGGACTTCGTAGGTGGTCCGATGGTTAAGATTCCATGCTTCCAGTGCAGGGGTCCTGGGTTTGATCCATGGTCAGGGAACTAGAGCCTGGAACCTGCAGCACAGTCAAATTTGAAAAAGAAAAACACACCCCACAGGATAGATATGATATAATATGTGGGCTCGTTCCCATGCAACTTTCTCTCTGGAGAGTGAAAAACCAGGACATCAGCCCTGGTTCCGAGCCATGTGGGGCATTGCTTCAAAGACGGACCCTGCTACACGCATCCTAGAGCCAGGCAAGACAGCTCTCCCTGGGTCCCCAAGGACACTCACTTGAGACAGCCCTTGGGGCATCCCCATCCCATCCTCCCACTTGAACCCAAGACCCAGGACCTTTCTAGGTGGGGCCAGAGCAGAACCAGCGCTGACCCACTGGTTACGGCAAAACCGGAAATGGAAGTTGAGTGTCTATGAAAAAATGCCTTCACTTTCTACCTGACTCATCAACACAGATGGCCCCACTCTGTTGCTCTGTGAGGTAAACAGGGTAGGATCATATTCTAGAAACATTAACCTCCCCGCAACAGCAGACCTGCAGTGCCTGTTATCACAGGGGAGGGGGTGACACAGCAAAGCCCAGCCCGACTCAATGGGGCAGATGGCAAGAACTCAAGACGCTTACGGTGCATTTGGAAGAATATATGACTAGAGCAAAAGGCCCCTTCTCTCCTCAACTGCGTAAAGATTCCTCAGGCTGGTGGGATTTGAGGGAGCAAAGAGACTATAGACTGACATTCGGCGGGAGGGCGGAGAAAAGGGCCCTGAGAAGGGAGCAGTGTCTGAAGTGAAAGGGGAGTATGACAAACACCCCAGAGGGGTTCAGAGATGCTCAGGGTAGGAAAGCCCTGGGCCCCGTGTTTCCTGGGTAGAGGCTGGGAAAACAGGAAAAGTTAGGGCAGACCAGACCCCTTGCTGTCTGTCTCAGCAGGTGGGCTTAGGATGGCCCCACAGAGCTTCCTGAAGTCTAGAGGGGTGTGGGACCAGGAGCTAGAATGTCCTTACACCCCAGCAGGCAGACCCAAAGAAGCTTCATGGTGGGAGGGAGGGGGCACCTTGCAGGGGCCACACCCACTGATGACCAACCAAGGGACTTGGAAAGGCAGATGTTTCAGCAGGTGCTGGCATGGGTGGATGATTGATGGCTGAGGAACAAAGTCTTACACCCCAAGCCTCCCCCATTGCTGAACTTAACCCTGAGAAAATGTGGGAAGAGAACCCTCTCAATTGAACCCCCTTCAAAATGACTAAGATTAATTTCTACCACTTGGTGAAATGGAGTTCTTAAAATAAGTTAACATTCAGTGTTAGAAAAATTATATGTTTCTTACAGGTTAGAGTTTGGGTTCTGAATTGTACCCAGTATGTAAGTGACATTTTCTTTATCATTTTGTTATAAACAAATGATGAAAAAGACTTTTTGGTGGAATAACACTTCATAAGAAACAGAAACACCACTTGCAGTGTTTGTCAATTACAGATTTTCCTTTGTGTCTTTGAACTCAGAAAGGATGGGGGGGGGGGGGGAGTCTTGCCACGAGTTCAGATCAGATGACCATAGCATTTTCTGAGTGAAAAGGACAAAGTCTGAGTTCATGGGCTGTTCGTTTCCTTTTTGTTGTCTCGATGGTTCATCCTCGGTGATCCAAATGCAGGCCCTCCCTGGGGACTGGGCACACTGCTCGATGATGAGAGCCAAGGTTGAGAATGGAGAAGGAATCCCACTCCAACCGGCAGCTCTGCAAAGCTGCTGCTCTGTGGGGCCCTGCAGTCAGCCGTGAAACGCAGTTCTGGGGGAGCAGGAGGGCAGTAATAAAGTCGGGAGCAACCGCCAGGGCAGCGTGCATGGGGGAGCTGGGGGCTTGGTGCCAGGTAATCCAGAAGCGGAGGAATCCAGAGCCCCTGTGTGAGTTCCAGAGCCCCTGACTGAGGGCTCCCCACCCCACTGGGGCCAGGTGGGGGAGAGCAGTGTGGGTGGCACGGAGCAGTCAGCTCCGGGGTAATCCTAGTGCCTCTAATTCCAAGAGCTCCGGGCTTGACTCAGCTGTTCTCTTTAATTTCATCATTCACGGTGGACCGGGCATTCCTGAGGGCTTCTGGGAGCACAGGCAGGGCAGGGGGCAATTGGGGAGGGCTAGGGAAGCCTGTGAGGGAAAGAGGAAGACTAAATAAGGAGGGGAGGTTGCCTTTCCAATAGGAGAACCTCAGGCTTGCCATCCTTTGCCAAGCAGGTGGAACCTGTGCCCCCACGCTCTGCAACCCCCTGGCAGATATGCTGCCAGGAAAGAGTGTGAGATCATGTCCAGTGGACTGTGATGATTACTTGGAGAGACAAGCTCTCTCCTTTCAGCCTTAGTTGAAACCTGGGTGTGGAAATTCCATTCAGCCCAGGTTTAGTAACTGGCTTCCTCCCAAGCAGGCAGAAATTGAACTGTGAGAGGGTGGGTGAATTTTCATGGGGGCCCCTGAAATCACATCGCTGCCCTTGCCTTTACTCCGGCCCCTGTCCACCCCTCTCATGAGGGCCTCCTTCACCTCAGCTGAGAACGGGATGAAACAGGGGCCCACAATGAGTGCTGACACTTGCTGTTTTCATGAGGCTGCTCAGCTCCGAGCTGGGCCCCTCCCCTACTCAGCAGGCCCCAATCTGAGATGCGGGTTCCCCAGGGAGTCTGAGGTCAGTGGTACAGAGCAGAGCCTACCTGAACAAGAGCGGAACCCACAAAAGGGGGTGGGGGAGGTGAAGGCCGAGTCCCCGGCTCCCTTCACTGCTTCCAGGTGTGGAAGGTGGCCCAAGAGTGAGGACTGCGATGTGTTCAGGCCCCGAGGGCGTCGATGCCAGCGGGGCTGAGCACTAGAGCTTGAAGGATGTCGGAGAGGGACACCACGCCCAGCAGGTGCTGAGTTTCATCCACAAGCACCAGCCGGTGCACCTGTGGGTCCACAGAGGCTCCGTGAGGGGGCAGCATCATGTGGCTACAGCAGCCGAAGAGGTTGGCACCGAGAATCAGGGCCAACAATTTAACATAACTGGAAGAGCAAGAGAGTGTCTCCCAGTAAACTAGTGTCTCCCAGTTAGCAGGAGCTCTGCCTGCCCTGGGGTGGTCAGCGGCTGGGGCCCTTGGCCCGAGGGCTCCAGTGACAGCACCTGTTGCAGGCCGATGTGGACACCCAGAGCTTGGCCATGTGATGGGAGGATGGGGTACGTGCCTGATGGATAGCGCGAGCTGGAGCTGCTCATGAGAAGGTTGGCCCCACGTGTTGGGAGCGTGTCTAAAGGGGCGTGGGGTACCTGCTCCCGGGCAATCCGGTCGATGACTTCCCCCAAGGTCTCGTGGGGCTGGCAGGAAAGGACTCCCTCCAGACACAGTGTCCTCCGCCTCAGGGCTTCTCCCACACTTATGTCCAGGTGGTTGTATGTTTGTTGGGCTGCCAGGTGCTGGGCAGGGAGGGAACAGCATTCTTCATCAGTCCTCAGCCAGGTTCCAGCCCCCCAAGGCTCAAGGACCCCCTAGTTGTCAGATACTCCCTCCCCCACCAATCCTCACACCACAGCCTCCCGGTGGCGCCCCCAGCTCCCCACCATCCCCCCAGGCACTTACAATCACATCAAAGCGGGAGTAGAGGCCCACGACCTGTCCTGCAGGAGTTGGAGAGGCAGGGAGGAAGGTGAGAGAAAGACAGGGAAAAGGTTCAGGTCAGAACCAGGATGCTGTGCAAGGGTCAAGAGTGGGCTTTCAGAATGAACTCCTCAACATCCTCTCTACCCCTCCAGGTTACTGGCTTTATAACAAGGCATCAGGCTGCCACCACCCTGAACCCAGGGATCAAACAGTGTCTCCGAGACGGACACCTGACACCATGCCTCCCGATGTGACAAGATATGAGTACGTGGCATCACTTCTAAGATAGTCTAGCCTCAAATATATAGCCTGAATCTGCGTGAGCCTTTAGATCTAATTTTCAGTTTATAGGAAGCACAGGAACAGAGGACCAATATAAAGGCCACCTGCAGAAAGTGAACAGGCAGATCTCTGGAAACAGGACATGCTACAGAATCCAGGCTTCCCATCATCAACACCATGAAAATTAAGCGGGGAAGGAACTGTTCTAGAATAAAAGACACTTAAGGGATAAAAGAAGCAACTTCAAAGCATAGACCTTAATTGGATCCTGATTTGAACAAATCAACTGTAAAAAAATAATTCTTGGGAAAAATGGGGAAATGAGAGTTAGGATAGGATTTTAGATAACATTAACACATTATTCATAATTTTGTCAGGTGAGTTAGGAAATATACTTATTTAAGAGATGCAGATGAAGTGTTGAGGTGAAATGACATGATTCTATACTTTACTTTAAATTACTTCAGCATAAAAAAAAGAGGTAGAAGTGGTTATGGCAATGTATTAACAACAGTTAATCCAGGGGGATCTATGAGGTTCATTACACAGTGTTCTCTACCATTTTTATACATTTGAAATTTTTCGTAGTCAAAAATAAAGTAAAACATTTCTTGATAGCCAACTTCATTATGCTAATTTTTAAATTTGAAGCAGTTTACAGCTGATTCTCAGAGCCAGAACCTGACGTCTGGCTTAGAGAGGGTAAATAATTGATCCAAGGCTCAAAACACGCAGAGACCTCCAGCCCTGACTCCATCCTGGGTCTCAAGCTAAGGTCACATAGACTCTGGCTCCCCACAGCTCCACCCCAGCCAGAATCCTCATCCTGGGTGTAAGTACCAGCTTCATTGATCACCGGCAGCGCAGACACACGCCGGTCCACAAAGATGTCCAGTGCAGTGAGGATGGGTGCTGTTTCCAGCACCACAGCCAAGTCTCGGAATGTGCCAATGCCCAGATCTTGGATGGTGCGGGAGAGGAAGGAGGGCCGGGGCAGCAGGGTGCCCTGCTTGGGTTGGAGACAGGTAGGGTTCAGGGTGGAGTAGCTAGATGCTCCCTCCCAACCCCTAGGGCAGAAGCCTTCTCTGCCCTTCTGGTCATCCCCTGAGGCTGGGCCCAGGCTCACAAAAATGTGCAGGAACTTGAGAAGCCGTTTGTGTGTGAGGATGTGCAGCACGGCGCCTGAGACTGGGTCCAGGACTGGCAGGCGGTGGATACGGTTCTTGATGAGGGTGTAGACGGCTTCAAATAGGCTGCAGAAGTGGGAGCAATGAGGCTGGGGCTGCCTGGGGAGAGGTGCCTTTACCCCAGTCCCGGGGAAGGAGGACAGGGTGCTGAGGCTGTCTTATTTGCAGTCCGCCAAGAATGAGCCCATGACTTCAGAACTGAGGAGCTGGCGAAGGGGGGTCTGGGCAGGGCAAGGAGGCTCAAGTGATTGTCTGGGGATGCTTACCTGTCACTGGGAGAGATGGAGACCAGAGGCTTGAAGCAACCTTGAAGGTAGATCTCTGCAGAAAAGGAGAGTCAGGGCAAGGGAGCTGGCCACCCTGTCTCACCCAGCAGTCCCCAGGCTAGCTCTCCTCCTTTGGGTACTCTGAACTCCCTATTACCCTTCCCCTGCCCCCTCCAGGAAATCCCCCCTGCCCATCCTCTATCCTGGGTCCTTGTCCCCACACACCCTCAGCCCCTTTGCAGGACTATTTACCCACTCACCCCTCCAGGTCTCAATCTTGTGTTCTTCAATCTCATAGATCTGGACCTAGAACATCAACAGAGCTCCCCGATTCAGATGTAGGCTCCCTGAAATCCCTCCGCCCCAGCCCAGATGGGTCCCCCTAGGACCCTGAGCCCACTCCTCACCAGGGGGGACCGGTAATAGCGATGCAGAACCAAGATGAAGTCTGTGATAGTCAGCATCCCTGCCGGGGTGCGGAGGGAAGAGAGAGGAGTGGGGTTCACCCTGGGCCCTGCGGCAGGAGGCAGGTGGAGGGCTCAGCCCCTTCTCCATCAGCTGGTCACAGCTGTCCCACAGATGGGGTTCTCCCAGCCAGCCTGTTCCCCCCAAGCCAGGACCCTGCCCCAGAGCTCAGCCCCAGAATCACCCCACAAGGTCCCCCCTTTCCCCTCCCTGGCCCCTCCTCACCCACAAAGCTCTGCTTCTTGCTGTCCCAAAGAGGTGCGGCCCGAACGCCATTGGCCACCAGGGCAAAGAAGGCCTTCTTGATCTGAGCCACAGGAAGAACAGTTGAGGGTGAGTTGCTCACTGCCCCTGAGTCCCCTGTCCTGACCAGGGGCTTTCCAAGGGGCCTTCTAACAGGCCCTCCCCTCCAGGAGCCTGCCTGCCACTTGACATGACCCTTGTGGGCACATTTGCTACAGAGATGAGGCTGCAGGTGGCCGGGGGCATTAGGTATCCCCTTAACAGGCATACCAGGGCGTAGGAGACAAGCCCAGTATTTCTACACCAAAGTCCTAAGTGTACAGATGCATGCAGGATAATTTTTGCCAATCTAAATACTAGAGGTGTAATTATCTGATATTTACAAAATATTTTTCTCTAAATATATTTTACATTGACTTATTTTGGCCTCATCAGTGGCAATACTATCCATACATGCTGGTTGTAGCTTTCTAACACATATCAAAATAAATACAAAGCTACCAAATTAAATATATTTGTTCATATATTGCTAGAATCAAAGTGAACTGTGGGTCATAGATATACCTTGTTTTTACACTACACTCTGCTCTTCGATACACAGCGAGAAGAAAATGCTTTCTATACAATTTGGGGTGTGAAAAAATGCTCCCAGTCATCCTGGATTGGCTCAGAAGTCCTCTGAAACTTGTAGGGTAAAGCAGGCATTCCTGTCCCCATTTTAGAGATGAGCAAAGTAAAAAGACCTACCCCAAACCCTATAGATACTGAGTTGTAGAGCTGGGATGACAATTAGGGGGTCCACACAGAGAGCAAAAGCTCCCCTCCCCCGGTCTCCATGGTGCCAAGAAGGAATTCTGGAAGGGACTTGTAGCCAGGCAGGGCTGGCAGGGCATCCTGGGGGCTGTGAGTATGCAGGTGGGGCAGAGTGGCAGCCTCACCTGTAGCATGGTGTCGAAGATGACTAGCTTGGAGCTGGTTGCCATGGCATCGTAGCAGGTGTGCTCCTGCATGAAGTGCATGTAGATCTGGGCCCCCGGCTTCCGCAGCTCGTCGTCCCAGCCCAGCCTGAGTGCCGGCACCTGCGGGGACGGGCACTGGGCCGGCCTCTCTTCCACCAGGCCGAGCTCATTCCCCCATGCTTCTGGGGCTGAGAACTCTATGCCCAGATCCAGATCATCTGTGTTGGAGCCAGAAGCAGAGGCTGAACAGTCAGAGGGGAGGCTGTCTCGCTCTGTTGTGGGGGTGCCCACCCCAGACGAGGGAGTGGCTTTGGCCAAGGGTGTGGCCTTGGGGAATGTGGCCTCCAGCCTGGTGGACTCAGCAGCTGGCCTGGACTGGGGACCTGTTCAGGAGGAGAGGACAGTAACTCCACCTTCCAAAGCATGTTCCCATCTGTTGTCTCCCTTCATCCTCAGAGCAGTGTGGGAAGCCTGGATGCTGAGGTCCCCACTTTGCGGATGAGAGCCAAGAGAGTCACAGCAGAGGGTGGCTCTGTCCTGAGCTGGTCATGCTGGGCCCCCGGATCAGCACTGCAGCTGCCCTCTCTCATGTGGGGAAACTGAGGCCACAGGATGTCATATGTCTGTGTTATGGAGGGATCCAGGGCAAGGCCAGCTCCAGTCTCGGGGACTTTCCACTGCCCCCAATCCCATCTCCCCAGAACTGGCCGTGGCCTCACCTCCCTTCAGGCCTGGGAGCTCCCCTTCCTCTACAGCCTCCTGGCTTGTCCATCTTGAGACCTTGGTCCCCTGTTCCCCAAGGCTTATTTCTGCGCTGGTGGTCATGGCTGGTGATGGCCATGAAGTGCTGTCTCCTTGCTCTAGGAAGCTCATCTCTGGAAGGGGGAATGGGGCCTGTTTGGTTAATGGGGGGTAACACAATAAAACAATTGAAATGTTGTTAACAATAATATTCACTATTTGCAAACGTCCAAAGGTCTTTTCCTCCAATGTATTTGTCATTCAAACCTCATAGCAATCTTATAAGGGAGGCATTAGTATCATCCCTATTTTACTAATAAGGGACCTGAGATCAGAGATGTTAAGCAATTTGCCACAGATCACACAGCTAACATGTGATAAAGTCAGGAGGCTCCAAATCTTCAGACTCTAGATCCAACCCCCTCCTTTCTTCTTCTGAAAGAGGAAGGAGGAGGGCCGGAAAAGGAGGAAGAAGAAGCAAGTAGGAACAAAGAAGGAAAAGGAGAAGAAGACAGGCTAGTGGGATGGGGGTGATGCGGAGCCTAGAGACATGAGAGGAAAGGAAATGGAAGAGGCTGGAGCCGTGAGAAGGGGCAGCCCCACCTACCTTGATGCTCGGGTGCCCCAAAGCTGCTCCAGGAGGGGGTCTGTGTGGAGAAGAGTGACTGAAGGGGTGGGGAGAACATCCTATACTCAGAACCACAGGAGCTGCCCTTCCCGCCACACATGCACAACCACACACCACCCCCCACAAACACACAAACACCCACCCTGAAGACACACATAAACCCATACAACCTACCCAGACACTTACATACACTCAGAAACTCGAATACTCAACCCTCCCCAGACACACACTCGAGCACAGAGACTCACACCAAGAATATACACATGCAGACAGCCTCCTGCTCCTATACACAGAGAAAATCGTGGTCAAACACACCCACATGCACACACACACACGTGCATATCCATGTGGCAGGGTGCTCTCAGCCCTGTGGCCTCAGCTGCCCCAGCTCCCAGCCCCCCGGGACCCCGGTACCCTGCTCAGCGCGTGCTCCAGCTCGGCGGGCTCCATGAGCGAGTGCGCAACACTGTATCTGGGCAGCACTATTCTGGGCCCGGCCCCTGGCACCCTGCCCTCCCGGATCGGGTTCTCTCTGATTGGGTGTCAGGCACTGGGGAGGAAGGGGTCCACCCGCGCCCGCAGCTGCTCCAGCCCTGAGGCCTGGGGGCTGCTGGGGAGGCGAGGGGAGGGGCGCACCTGGAATCTTGATGCCTGGTTCTGTCTGCCTCCTGGGTGTCCGATGATGGGAGAGAAGAAAAACCCTGCTGTGGGGGGAGGGTGGGTGCTGGGATGGGAGGAGAGGGTCTCTCAGAGCCCCGGGGTTTCTTCTCTGAGGGCCCCTCTCTTCTTTGTCGGGTGCCAAAGGAGGAAAAACAGAGGCAGTTGAGCTGAACTCTCTTCCTTGTACAAACCTGGGTCACGGGTGGTGCTGGAATTAGAAAGGGCAGGTTGCAGCCGGCTGGCAGGTTGGGGATAAGAGGTTTGTGCGTGGTCCTGGGAGAGTGGCCAGTGTGTGTCCAGATGTCACTATTCGAGTCCCAGGGGCCCATTCTTCTCTAGGTGAAGGAGCTGGGACTGGATGGCTCAGGCAGGTGGGGAGTCCCGAGAATCTCCTTGACGGTGTGTGGTGGGCTTGCACGTGTCTCCAGTGTGAGGGACACCTGTTTGTACCTGTGGAGGTAGACCCAGGTGTGCAGGGGCCACTGTCCTCCCATTCCTCTGTGTGTGCTGTTTCTATGTCTCCCGGGGCCAACAGGATCCCAGCTGGCTCTGGTGGCTGCCCACCCACCTCCCCCTTCCTTAGCATTCCTGGGGCCTGAGTCAGTGTCCAAATCGGGAATGCTGACCCAGCTGCTCCAGCTCTCCTCTTGGCCCCCCTCCCCTTCCTCTTCTCTTTCCAGCCTCTTCCATCCCTGTCTCACCAGGGAGTGAACGGATGCTCAGTAATGGGTTACCGGATTTCTTGCTGATTTAGTGAACGTATTTCCCATCACCCCTTAAAGCCCCTGTATTGCCTATGGGGATGGTGGAGGAGAACAGAGCCAGGAAGAGGCTTGCCTGTCATGTGGGTCTTGGTCAGTACTGGGGACGGGTGCAGTTCCCCTTCTGCAGGGCCCCTGCGGCTTGTTTCTGTCTGGTCCCAGATGATGGAATAGCAAAGGCACAGCCAATGGGACATTTCAAATGGGGGAAAGGTCACATGGACCATCCCTGGAGATAGGTAGTGCCTCAGTCCTGTAAAGCCCCGTCCCCTTATCCTCTGGACACCTTCACAGCCAAGCCAGATATAGAACACGTGCAGCTCACACCACTGCCTTTTCCTACAATACCTCATCCTCCCCTTTACCTCAGACATATTTTACCTGCAAGACCAGAAGCAGGGGCTCCTCTTCCAATAAAGCCTCCCTTGACTGCATCACCCTTATTGTGGTTGTTCAGTCGCTCAGTCACTCAGAGTGTCTGGCTCTTTGCGACTCCATGGACTGCAGGACACCAGGCTTCCCTGTCCTTCACCATCTCCAGGAGTGGTGGTTTGCTCAATCACCCTCATTGCACTGACCCTAGAGCCACGCTCTGTATGCACATCTCAGGGTACACTGGGCTGGCACTCGCATAATTATTCACGTGTGAATGTCTTTTAATCTCTTAGTAAACGTTGGGTACCGTGATGACCACAATATGTTGGTTGGATGTGAGGGAAAAATCTGTTTTGGGGTCAGATCGACCTTGTTAAAATTCTTGTTCTGCCATTTGACCTTGGAAAGCATTGCTTGTTTTCTCTGAGCATGTTTCCACGAATGTAAAATGAGGATAAAAGCATTCTGTGCCAGACACTGCCAGTTGCTTCCTAATAACTCTTTCTCTCTTTTGCTTTTGTAATAGAATCACTTGAATTTTAACTGGAATGGCTGCCTATAACAAAGACTTAAATTCCCAGCCTTTGCAGTTAAATATGGCCTTGAGACTTAATTTGACCAATGTGAGTGCTAGTGATGGGAGCAACTTCGGGATCAGGCCTTAAAAGAAAAAGCACGAGTTCCTTTCCTCCTCTGATGGCTGGAATGCTAATGTGATGGCAGGAGCTAGCGCAGCTATCTCACAGCCAAGATGGAAAATGCTTGTTCAAGGTTTCAGAGTCACCCTTCCAGGTTTAGATTGTCTGGAGACTACAACACTAGAGAAATAAACTCCTTTGTTTAAGTCATCCTTAAATTGAGTGTTTGTTATAGCAACCAAACATGTATCCTAACTAATGCAAAATCTGATATCTGGAAGTGACACTGCTTTAAAAGCCTAAAATAAGTGGCATTGGTTTGGGAATTGGACTTCAGGTAGCAAAGAAAAGTATTGCACGCTGGTAAGCTGATGACCATTGTTATGTTTACAGCAAAACATATGATCTGTCATCTATGATGCCTTGAAAGGTCATCATATGCTAACAGAGCCTGTAACTATGGAAACTAGCATGTATTGGCTTCTGCTGGATGCTACAGGCAAGGTCCTGTAAGAGAAATGCATCCAGGCAGCGAGTTGTAAGTGGTGGCTTGACAGAGGCAACCTTAGCAAGGGTTCCAAACCTTTCTCAAGTGCACCCAGTTCTGTAGCTAATAGAAACCAGTCCCATGGGCAAAACAGGAAAGTTCTCAGACAGTAAAGAATCTGCCTGCAATGCAGGAGACCCGGGTTCGATCTCTAGGTTGGGAACCCCATCCCCTGGAGAAGGGAATGGCAAACTCACTCCAATATTCTTACCTGGAAAATTCCATGGACAGAGGAGCCTGGTGGGCTACAGCCCACGGGGTTACAAAGAGTCAGACATGACTGAGTGACTAACACTTTACAACCAAGCATATTTTTTTGACAACCTCAAGGTAGCCACCAGCAGTTCAAGAGAGAATGGGAAGAACGCCAAGTCCAGAATAATCAAGCAGGAAAATGATGAGACATTTGGCTGTGGTTACATAAATATGAAGTCAATCAGAAGCCTTGGGAGACTTTGAGGGTGCAACATTGGCAGAGAAACTATAAGCCTGGTCAGCAAACACTAGTTTGCTCCCCCACCCACCCAATAGTCCCTAGCCCTTGAAATCTGCACCAGCAGAAAGAGGGCTGTGTAAGGTCCGCAAGGACGGCCGTGTTCACCAGCAGCCTAGGGCATGTTGCATGAGAAATAACTTCCAGGAGGCAATGGCAGAAGCCACTACGAGAGTAGAAAGCTTCCCTCCCAGAGAGCAGGACCAGCAGTGGCTGGATGAGGCGCCCTAGAACCGACTCCTCTGTGGGGAAGCCGTGCTGCAATTCCTGTCCAGCTGGATTTAGTTATTGCTAAAGATCAGGTGACTGCCCAGTGTTTGCCATTCTTTGTGTTCTGGAGTTTATCCTGTTTCTCCTCCACTGTTATCTCGGGGAGGGGGAGGGCCAGATTACCTGCCTTTTGGTTCACAGGGCTCTAGACACTGAGAATTCCATCCACACCCAGGCCCTCAGAAATTCTGAGTTCTGAGCTGGAGCTGGGTCTAAATGGAACTCTGCCTTGCCTCTCTTCATTGTTATTATTGTTCAGACCCCCAGTCATGTCCGATTCTTTGCAACTCCATGGACTGCAGCACGCCAGGCCTCCCTGTCCCTCACTGTCTCACGGAGTTTGCCCAAGTTCATGCTCATTGCATTGGTGATGGCCTCGACTCTGGTGGCTCAGACGGTAAAGAACCTGGCTCTCTTCAGAGGGTGCTAAATGCAGGGTAGGCTGAGGGGTGGCCCAGTATGGGCTCTGGCAAAGCAATAGTTACTTTCCCCTTCTTCTTCCTCTACTGGTAATTCCCCACAATTTCAATGAAGTGCAGGATTATATTTCCCAGCTTCCTTTGCAGATAGCATGGCCATGTGACTAAGCTTGACCAATGGGATCTGCACAGCAATGTTATCTGCAACCTCTAAGGATGCCCTCAGGAGGAAGGGGCAGATTTCCCTCCTCCTACTGACTGGAATTATGATATGATGGTGGGAGCTGGACTGGTCATTTCAACTCATTGGTGGAAGGTTGAAAATAATAGAATCTCATCCAGTCCCCATCTCTGAACTGTTATGTTACAAAAAGAAGTAAATATCTATCGTGTTTAAGGCACTAATCAATAGAAACTTTGCTACAGCAGCCAAGCCTCTAACTAATGTATTTACATGACAGGATCGGGGTAGGGTGAGAAATTACAAGTGTATATAATGATGCTTCATATGTATGCAGTGCTAAAGATCTGCCAGACACTGCAAAACACATTGTGGGCAGTATCCCAGGTAGTCCCTCACAATCCTATGTGGTAAATGCTTTACTGCTATGATTCTACAAATCACAAGATCAAGGCACAAGGGATTAAGTAACTTGATCAAAATCCCAGAGCTAGTGAAATGAAAGTGAAAGTCACTCAGTCACGTCTGACTCATTGAGACTCCATGAACCATGCAGTCTATGAAATTCTCCAGGCCAGAATACTGGATTGGGTAGCAGTTCCCTTCTCCAGGGGATCTTCCCAACCCAGGGATCAAACCCAGGTCTCCCACATTGCAGGTAGATTCTTTACCAGCTGAGCCACCAGGGAAGCCCAAGACATTGCCCAGGGTCAAACCCAGTGTTTCTGAACTAGTACCACACTCTCAGCCACTAAGCGTAATATAAACGAAGCACAGGCCTGGCATGTAATATATGCTCAGTAAGTGGTTACTATAATTACTACCTCACTACTTGCTTCCAGTCCCCCTAACCCTCTAGCTACAAGGTTCTGAAAGCAGGCAGGCTGGGGGTGGGAGTAGGTGGGGGGGGTCTCTGACTCTCCAGTAGTCATTTCATGGTGGCACTGGGGTTGGGATGAAAGAAGGCCAGGTTGGGGCACACACCAGCCCTGCCCAACACTAAAATCATAGTGAATTTCCAGTTGTGAAAAAGGAGCTCCCACACCTGCTCTTGCGGCCAGCCCAGCCCCACCCATCCTCTTCGGCTGGGCGAATCAGCAGAAGGTACTGGCTTTGGTTGGGAAATAAATACTCCTTGGGTATTAGAGTTTAGTCTCTGGTCATGGTGTCATATTTCTTGAAACCCTCCTTCTCGGCGCCATCTCAAAACTGGGTGTAATAAGGACACTGGCCTCTGACCCTACAGTGAAATTGGCTACCATCTCTGGATCACTGATTTGTCTAGGACATGGGGTTGGGATCGTGTTTAAGTGTTATTTTTATATTAGAAGGAGTAAAGCAGCTGGAGTGGGTCAAGGGGATAGCCTGGATGAGACCATTATTGATAAATCACAGATGTGGTCCCCTGTGCCAGAGTGGTTGGGAGGCTGTGAGAGCAACCTTCATGTCAGTCACCCAGACCCCAGCTCCTGAGCTGTCTGTGTGTGGCTGAAACCAGGCAGCTTCTATGCCAGTGTCCCAGGGACCTGGACTGAACAAGCACCTTGTTACTACAATTTAGTCAGCCCCACAGGCCCCATTACTGGGCCTTTTTCTGTCAACTGTTGGAGATTGAAATGGACAGATGGTGCTTTTGTCTACCCAGGATCCATTTCACCCCTCTTTTGGCAACCCCCCAAGTTTTCATTCAGGGAACCACATTTCCTCCAATTTAAGAGCATCTGAATCTCAGAGGAACCCACCCATCGGTTCCAGGAAGTATACAGCTGACTCAGACTTAGCCAATGAGCACATCAGATTCCCCTGACCACAGTGAAGGGGCATGGACTGAATTAGCCCAACAGAGGTGAACCCTGGGAGTTCTGCTACAGGTAATGGGGACTCTTTCCCACTGGGTTTGGAGCTATGAGGATGTATGTGTGGAGATTCTGCTACCACACAGAACAGAGCTGCTTGAGAATGAAGACCAAAAAAGAGAGTAAAAGAACAATGATATAATAAGAAAGATCAGGTCCTTTTGACATTCATTGGGCCCCTGGATCAAACTGTACCTGAAGACTTTATACTGTTTTTTTTTTTTTCTGTTACATTAACCAATAGAATCTTTTTGTTGTTGTTGTTGTTTTTAATGCAGTTTGAACTGAGTTTTCTGTCACCTGCAGCTGAAACAACCCTGATACCAGATTTAATAAAGAAAACAACCCCAAGACACTTGCAAAAGCTGCTGGGCATGATGTTTATTCACTGGATTTTCCCAAGAAAAAAGAGCACATTTGAAAACACAATTAGAGTAATCAACAAGACGTCAGGGGATAGCAGGCTAAAAGTTACTTTGATAAAATTCAGTAAAAGAAGAATTGGAATGGGACAAAGTTAAAGAAGGAAGGCCTCATAAAGAAGATGAGTTTGGACATAGAAATAATCATCATGACAACAGCAACTGTTTGCTGAACCCTAACTATGGACTAGGCACCAAGTTAAGCAGTTGACATATGTGAAGGGATAATATTTTGAAATAATATCCAAACTGAGGGGTACTTCTTTCTCCCTAGTAGTCCTTTGCTCGTTCGAGTTTCTCTGCTTATAGTCTCAAGGAAGAAATGATACAATATAAAGAAGAGCATCTTCTGGGTTTTGAGTTTCAAAAGTGATTTAGTCTTCTGGGAATACCTTTGGCTTAAACAA